TAAAACCCTGCAGAGACTCTCAATAATTCTACGTTTACTATTCATATGAATCTTGGTATTCCAGCCTCTTCAAAATTTGGTCCCTGTAAACGGTATTCTGATCTGATGGTTGTAGATCAAATTTGCATTAGTTTTATAGGCGAAGCATTGATGTTAGCAATGCGGCTGCAGCAAATGGGCCTCTTAAATATTTTATTTGATTTGATAGCCTGGCCTGGCGAATGATCTTCAAATTCATCAGTGCAAGTAATGGTACGACGAAGCATTTGGAATCTATCGTTGATCATTTGTCCTGACATTTTTCGAGTAAAGAACTCCAGCGACATTCATTTAATGATTATCAAATATCCAAGCAAAGAACTTTAAATCTATTGAAAAAGTCGCGACGCCAACACATTGATCAACCTGTCGATTCAGTTCAATCCAACAAAAAGCCTCTTTTTTGGTCCATTGAACAGTTCAGGCTTTGTTCAGCATTTTTTATTATCGTCACGTACCGTCCGAACGATCCTTTAGTTTAGACTCACCATTACCATCACTATTCATAGCGGCCTTATACTCGGGCTTGTCGAAGATGACTTCTTTGAAGTTCAGTAAATGTAAGATAATAATTTCTACTAGATTCCAATTAAAAAAAACTTCAAGATTACTGTCAAAGATTTGAATTTAATGTCGTGTACTAGTACGCTGTATTACGAAAACTATGCAAAAATATTTCTCTCGGCCTATCGGCCTGCCCCCACAGGAGGGAACACAAAGAAAAATATAAATAACAAATATTTCAATAAATATTTTAAATGAAAGCGATAGACGATGTCCCTGCATTGCAATCCGGCTTCTAATATTTTACCAATTTTCTTGTTTAGGTTTAAACTTTTCAATTAACAAAATATAGTACACAAAAATATTATATTATGAATAAAACCTTACAAAATTTATATCCCTATAGGGAACTATTCATTTCTGACGTCATGACTTAGTTAAAGAAAGTAGTTAAATCATATCAGAATAATTAACGGAGGGCCTTGAAAGTCGCAGTCGTTGCAATTATTTTTCTTGTAATCGTATCAAATACGCATCCAAAAATAAGAATTTCAACTCATTGGGACACAATTTCAAATTTTTTATTATGAGTGAACCGCTACCAGCTGTAATTCAACTTAGGATTATGAGATAACTGTTCCACGACGCGATGTATATAACTTGATGTTATAAGCAAACCTAGATTTATTGGAGAGTTTTTCTTTCCACGTCGCGATGTATGTAACTTCATGTTGTGAGCGAACCGTTCTCTCTAGATTTATTGGAGAGTTTTTTTTAGAAATTAAATTTCTTCGTCGTTCGTTTGTTCCACTTTGTGTGTCCTCGTATGACCAATTATTTGCATCTGGTCGTTGTTTTCAGTTGAGTTGACCAGGTCGATATTGTTGCACAGAGGTGCATTCATTTACGAGGTGAATGCGAGACCAGTGTAATTAAGTTATTCCTTTCTTCACAAGCTTATACTTTTCAGCTACTTTTCAGCTACAGCTACTTTTCTTCACAGGAAATTTTTTACGGTCCAATTCCAGAGTTCGTTTAATTAGCTGCGTTACTAGTCTTTCATTTGAGTCCATGTGTCGATTTTTCTAATGCATTTCAATTTACATACTTCACCTAATATCATTTAATAACATATTAGAGTGGCGTCGGCGTTGATTAGGCCATTTTTGTCTATCACCGATTCATATGTACCGATATCTCAATTGATTGCGAGCTTCGAGCCCCCTTCCTCGCTCATCTTTATTTCCCTGACTCGACGGTATAGTTCGGACCGATCGCTTGACGAAATCAACTAATCGCTTTTTCCAATCTGAGCTTAAATGCAGTCAGCAGAATTCGAAGAATATTTAACTTTTCTAAGACGATAATCTTGATTATTCAAGTCGTTGTGTCTAAATTATTATTAGTATTCATGCCATTAAGTCGATATTTTGTTGACCGGCACATGAATATTCGGATAAAGTTACGGCAAACGAAACGTTTGTATTGGTTTACGGACATTCTAGTTGGGAAACATTATAGCGTCTTCTGGATTATTCAGGGGCTAATTAATTTGTCCCACCGTGAGGCCTGGACCTGAGGGATAAATTATGAGAGGAATTTCTAAGCTTAATTTAATCAATAAATAAATTCAGAAAATGATTGACTAGTTCAGTAGAACAACATAATCAAAATATTTTTGCAGATAAAAAAAATTTATTCACAGCGTGTGTGGAGCTTCTAACGCAATTATTACATCCACATAATTATTAACCTTGACTAATTAATAAAAAATCTAAAATGTGCATAGTTAAATAGTATTCAGATAATAAATAAATAATGGTTAAATTTTATGAAGTTTTGGGCTAGCGTAGAATGAACACTTCGAATGTAATGCATGGCGTCAGACTAACACCGTGTATGCGAATAAAATCATGCTTTTGATTTATTTATGCTAGAATTTTTGCAACGCGATATATAATCCACGAGACAAACACTTTTTCTAATGTAATCTAAATAATAATTAATTCTAATTCGGAATCTAAATTCTAATGATACGATATAAACTAAAATAATACAAACATGTATCCCGGTAGAGGAATCACCATGCCCAATGACATAGATTGTAGTGCTCATTTGACATGCCCAATTGCCGTGCTCAATGAGAAATGCATAAGCGTTTTCTCGTCAAATTTTTTGTTCATAAAGGATTAAAATATTTTAGTCTGTGCTGAAGTTCTTTCTACGTCAGCAATTTTCTTCAGGATTGTCAATGGAATATTTTCACAATAACTGAAGTAGTTATGTTATCTATACTCCAGTGTTCGCATGAACAAATGAAAAATAATTTGTCGAGGTGCATCTTCAAATTCATTGGCTTGAAACTTTTACTCTGACGCAATTAGCTCTTGAAATTAAGTCCATATGGAATTACTTGACATGTGCGTCGACTTTGCAATTATATAGACCAAAAAACGTCTGACAAAATTTCATCCAAACTCAAGCCTGACTTTCTTACAACTCTTCTCTTTAACTTCACTTCTTGTCGTTTGTTTGACTGTCTGCTACAAATCTTATAATCGATATTTAACACACATCTACCTGTCCAATCGATCTGAAATTTTGCACACTCGCGTAAAGTTGGAGACAATGCAAGAATCAATTGACAGAATAAGTAATTTTGTAAAATTTAAAAATTTATTTTTGATATTAAAAAAATTGAAAAAAAATAATTTTGTCTGCTACATAGCTTATAATCAATATTTAACACACTTCTGCCTCTCCAAACGATCTGAAATTTTGCACACTTGCATAAAGTCGGAGACAATGCAAGTATCAATTGACAGAAATAATTTTAAAAATTTAAAATTAATTAATTTTAAGAATTAAAATAAAAACTAATTTTTTAATATTTGATAATAAAATTAAAAATCAATTGCACATTTGTAACATCGGAGGTACTGGATTCTTTAGAAGTGTTGTCTTTAAAAAGTAATTTTTAAATGCATATTAGTTACAACACTTCTCTTTCACTTCACTTCTGATTGTTTGTCTGTCTGCTACAAATCTTAAAATCGATATTTGACACACTTGTACCTGTCTAATCGATCTGAAATTTCGCAAGCTTGCGTAAAGTTAAAGACAATGTATGAATCAGTTGACAAAATGAATAATTTTGAAAATTCACGAAATTTTTATATATTAAATAAATTCAAAAGTAATTGTTTTAATATTTGAAAATAAAATTAGAAATTTATTGTACATGTGTAACATCAAAGACACTGGATTCATTAGAAGTGTTGTAATTTTTAAACGCATATTATTTTTGGAAAACTTCACGCGATCCGTATTGGAGACATTGTATAGAAAAAAAATAGGGAACACAGTTTATTCAACACTGGATATTCCACACAAGATATTCAAGACATAACATTCCACAAGGAATTTTCAACACGGATGATATCGGAAACATTGATAATTCTTTATCAATATATAGGCTGACGTCGGCCTAAAATTTGGAAGCGACTTCATCATCAGGCAGTAAATTTGCGATATCACAAAAGGGTTTTTTATCATTCAATTGTAATTTGTTTTTTTTTATCATTTAAATACATTCAATCGCCAATGAACCTGCATTCTCTAGCTCAAGTAAACGTAAAAGAAGTAAAGAGACTTGAAAATCTGTATCCTTTTTTGAATTCATTATTATTAATTTCATCTTAAAAAATCGCGGAAAAATAATTCCCGATTCGAAAAGGTGTTCACCGCAAGACTTAGAATTTGTTTGAAAATTGAACTATTGAATAGTATAATTTTAACATAAGACAAAATTCTACTGCATCATCATATAGTCTGATAATAAAATCTCATAAACAGACGTCAATGCAAGTTACAATGCATTTCAGATTATTTTTAAATCTATTTAGACCTCAAGTTATTCACCGTTTCAAGTGCTCGATATACTCAATACGTGCGTAATTATTATTATATAATTGAATGTCTATGCAATAGAGCGTCGTGCACATGGAAATTCTCTGAGCCCAAGGAAATGTCTATATAAGATAAAGTGTAATAATATAAATATATATTGAAATAAACCTCAAATCAGCACACTGACTTATCTGCATCACCCAGCAACGTAACGAACATAGGTTAATAAATGCACAGTCAATTCATACTTTATAACTTTATTTTTTTGTAAGAGATTTCTATGCGCTTAATGGCTAGTTTATTAGGGTTCAATATAAAAAATAAAAAGACGCTCCAAACTTAGTATTCGCAATATATATATACGAGAAAAACAACAATTGGCAATATGAATATACTTTAGAGCAAAAAAGTAATTTTAACTATAAACTATAGTAATTATAACTATAAATCATACGTTTAAAAAAATGTCATGGACACTTGTGACATGATAGAAGTAATGATGATCAAACCATAATTGATCAATACGAATCACTAATCAATAATATATGTCATGTGTAACCGAAAAGGTCGAAATCACGTTCATACTTTTGCTTCAGTTTGCGTCGCGTCTCTGCCGACAGCAGAGACAAGTATCTCTGGACAACGTCAGCCGAAGTCCCACTTTGGTTTTCATTCGACAAGCAAAACTTCTGCGCCAAAATACCTTGTACTTTTAAATGTTTGATGAAAGCGCTGACTTCATCTTGTAAGTTCTCATAACTAATTATGTATTTATAACGAACTTGACACACGTGACAATAGAGATAAATTGGCTTCCAATGTTCATCGTATTTTTCAATGTCGGTTGCTAACAAATATTGCACAAACTCTGGGAAAGTTGGGTCACGGAAAAGGTACTCCTTAGGAATTTCATGTAGTTTCTTAGAATCAAGAATCCCTTGTTTCCATTTTAAAATTCCGAAGATTTTCTGTTCAATATTTGTTCTATTTGCACCTTTGAAACTAACTCTCGTAGTAATCTGCGCTGCATTATCTTTAGAACCGCTAACAGACAAGAAAGAATTTGAGAAATCGTCCCAATGTGCCTCAATCTGTTTATATAAATGCACGTCTTCCATCTCTCGGTGCTTGTTTACTATTAAACTGCCGTAATTCTTGTAGAAATATTCCCCGTCGTGGGCCGCGTACGACAACTCGAGCTTGTTGCGGTAGGCCGACACTACCCTGTGCAGTGGGTGACGTACGATCAAGAAGCTGGCACTGCTACGTACCGCCTTCGACACTGCTTCGGGCTTCACAGGCCTAGAACAAATTATTCTATCAGCAATACAAACTTATTACTATTTCACAGCTTATAAAGAAGCATATATACTCGCTAGATATTTAATAAACTATTTAGACAATTTTTAAAATATGTTCATTGCATTTGAACTACTACATGGCCAGATATATGTTGAAGAGAGAACAGACTAACAGTATAGACGATGATATTATAGAGAATCACAAAAAGTTATGAGCATGGAAATGTATTGGAACAATGATATATACAGGAACCTTAATATGGATAACGATATTCACATGGACATGCATACATAAAACGATAAGAATTGTAACTAAATAAATAATAATGAAAGGGTCAGCCACATGATATGGGCAGAGCAATGTAATTAATAAGGAATTGGGTTGCAACTTAATCATGAATAACGATTAACGACATGGCAGAGACATGCATTGAAGTGACATTATTAGAAAGGACATGCATACGAATTATTGGCTGGAAAATGTATAATATAGTTACAAATATAACGGTTCTGACAATGACGTGCATATGAAGACAGGTTAATGAGGAATGTGTAGGAATGACAATTTATCGACTTAAATTTGCCAGAATAACTTTTTAGGCAATAAATGTACAGCAAAAAAGCAGGACCTGGTGAGAGTCCTCTGGAACATGTATAGTATAGCTACGAGTACGGTACTTACATGAACGTGTATATGAAGACAGATTAATGAGAAAACATGTGTATGGATAATAATTTATCGAGTTAAATTCACCAGAATAACTTTGTAAGCAATAAATGTGCAGCAAAAAAGGCAGGACCTGGTGAGAGTCCTGAGCGTGGCCTGCAGGAAGAGCTTGGCGGGAGCGAGACCTGGGTCCAGACCAAGCAGGGCGCGCGCCCACGATGACGACGCAACCTTCTCAAGCAGCGATATTATCTCAAACTATACTTATGCATGGCATTGCTCAAAATATCGCACGAAAATATACTAATCTTTCTAAATTTATTTAAACAATAATCTTTGGTTATGTTATGAAATCGCACGTAAATATATTAATCTTTCTAAATTTGTCTAAAGAATAATCTTTGGTTATGTTATGAAATCGCACGTAAATATAATAATCTTTCTAAATTTGTCTAAACAATAATCAATGATTATGTTATTTATCGCGTACACATAACTTGTTCTCTTTTCATACAATTCTAATTAGCTTTCTTAAAATTTGTGAGTTCAGGCTGAGGAGGCGGACGACTACGACATCGTCTCCACACGTCGTCCGCTCGCGACCGAAGATACGAGGCGTTCAGAAACTCCGGACCGGACGCCGCCTCTACGCATGACGAGGCTTGGGACCCGTGGGCCGATGACACGTCATCTGGAGACGAGGACTTAGAGCTGCCAGCCTGCAAGCATTCATGGACAGGAATAAATTTTTTTTAACAACTTAGTCTAAATTGAAATCTACCAAATTTTCATTACCATCGCAATTACTTAAATTTTTTTCGTCCTATATTTATTAATATTCGTTAAATTGTTATGAACAACGAGATACAGTTAATATCATTATTAGGAATTATGACTAATTAATTGAATTATTGATCAATTTATTGCAGCCTGATAGCATGGTGGTGGTCAAACGCTTCCACAAATTACAGTAACAAACTTCTCAGTCAATAATTATTGTTCATCTTCTCAGTAAATTTCTGTAAAGTGATACTTTAACCTATAAACATTCATTATTATTAATATTACTTGAGTTTGTCCATCTTTGAAGAGCTGCAGTAAACACAAGAGAAATAAGCCCGCCAGAAGAACGGTGCACAGCTGTCGGGTGCGTCGGATGGCACATACAAAACGGCCTCGCATTATCAAACGTTACTTAATTAATTGATTTCACTGTAGAATATTCAATGTAAGATTCACGGTTATTTTTGTTTTGCACACGTATTTCTAGCATCACGAGGAATTCTCATATACACGCAAATAAATAAATACAAAATTTTCAACTGTTGAAACTATTCGTGTTTGCTATTGAATGTCAGTTGTGAGCGAATTTTATCTTTAAATTTAAAAAATTCTTATCAACATTATACCACAGAAATAATGTCCCCTTAAAATTTTGATCATTTATCAACGGGAATTTATTTAATGCTGTCATAGAATCACCAGTTCATACCGTCTAAATATGACACCCAAGCTCTACAAAATCCACTCCAAACTGTTGATAAGTTTGTACGCTAAGTCTTGGGTTGAACCAGAATGTTGAATTTCTCTCCAAGTTTCTCATTCGCTTTTCAAGGATCAGGCATGCGTAAGTTTTTGCAGCCCGACAGTTTTTCAAATTTACGCAGAATTTTGAAAATTATCGCCTCCAAAAATACCAACACTAAACAAGAATTCAGAATTTCTCATCTATAAGGCGCGAATAGTTAAAGATGGAGTTCTTTGATCATATTCAGTATCGGACTGATTAGAACATTAATCAGATTTGAGTTTAAAAATAATTAAACTGAAAACACGAGAGCCATAGAGTCACATCTTAGACCGCCTAAGTTTCAACGCAAGATTTTTATTAACACTTACACCTTAATTAAAACAAATAAACTGCAAAAATTCCTGCCCGCCATTATAACACGAGCGAGCTTTATCGGCACAGCAAGCGTTGATTGTCTCTATAAATCGTATGAAACTTTTAC